AATTATATATATATATATATATATATATATATATATATATATATATATATATATATATATATATATATATATATATTGGATGCGATGTAAATGTATGTGTGTGATGCATCATAACCATGAGACCAAATTGAATTAGAAAAACTCCTCTAAAATAATATTAAATTAGTAAATGTGAGGCAATAAGATTGACCCACGTGACCTTCTATTATAAGTGGAAATTACTTTTTGATGTAGGCTGAGTTAGTCAAGTCCCTCGAGGCTCATCTATATTGGGATTTAAGATTTTGCCTATGATATAAAGATGTCACCAATGACCTAAAGACATAGTATGCTTAGTCAAGTCCCTCAATGGTATATCATCAAATCATACTCATCTTATAATGATGGTACTAACTTAACTGAGCATCATGGTTGGTCGAATCTCTTGAGGTCATGATGATTCGGAGACCCAACAGGACGAGAATCACAAGAAGTTGTGATTAGCAAGAGTTACCTACCATTTTAGGCTTAGTATAATTCATCGAGTCCTTTGAGGTCATAATACGAAGCTGATTATATTAGAAATCCATCGGAGATACTGAGGAAGTTGTGTGTTTCATAAGAAAATAATGAGAGTAGAGTAAGATGAAAGACCATATCTTAATTAATTTATAAAATCTAAAATCTATATGTTATTTACTTTTTTATTATATTTTTATTTTTTTAAAAATATTACTTTTAAATCCCTTATGTGACATATTTGATATCAACCGCCTCACTGGTCCAAAATATATAGATTGACTCTGTAACTTAAGAATTATTCTCACGGTAGAGAAAATCACATACATCCTTGACATAGTGATGCCACGCCTGAGGAAGGGGCAAGTGAGGATGAGATCACTCACTATATAAATGACATAGATATTCCACTCTTACTCAATATTACATATTGGGCTCCATGACTCCCGAGTTATAGAGGCAGTATGAAAAGATGGATGCTAGATCCATTCTCCTACATCTTCATAAATTATTTGAGGAACAAGGAATGATTTAATGATATGATGTATCCAAGAGTCTCTTCCGTGCTAGAATGATTTAGGGGGCACCGATTTAAAACCATGTCCTTAAGATAATTGAGTGGATAGAAAAGCTCACAGGTCTAGGAATGGTCCTAGAGGATAACCTATGTATGGATCTTATACTTCGGTCCCTCCTAGATTCCTTTTCGTAGTTCATTATAAATTTTAAAATAAACAAACTTGAGGTAATTCTCTTTGAGCTCCTCAATATATTGAGAGAGATAGAGAGCACTATCAAGAAAGAGAAGCAAGTTCTATATACTAGTGAGACCAAAAAGAAAAGAAAGATAGAGAAGTCTCTTAAGAAGGGCAAGAGTAAAACTGAATAAAACAAATGTTACTAAAAATGACCCAACAAAGAACAAAAGTCAATGCTTCGATTGTGGTAAAGACATGCACTGAAAGAGAAACTGCAAAGAGTACTTTACAAAGAAGACGAAACAGAAGTTTGGAGAAACTTCAAGTATATTCATGATTGATCTCCATTTGTCAGAAAATTATTATAGTGCATGGGTATTAAATACCAATAGTTCATCTCATATTTGTATTTCATTGTAGGTTTTGGCAAGACCCGACAAAGAACAAAGGTCAGTGCTTCCATTGTGATAAAGATATACACTGGAAGAGGAACTGCAAAAAGTACCTTATAGAGAAGATGAAACAGAAGCTTGGAGAAACTTCAAGTATATTCATGATTGATCTCTATTTGTTAAAAAATTATTATAGTGCATGGGTATTGAATACCGATAGTGCATCTCATATTTGTAATTCATTATAAGTTTTGGTAAGATCTAGAAGATTGGCGAGAAGCAAGGTGGACCTCAGGATAGGGAATGCCACAAAGGTTGTTATTGTTACCGTTGGGGAGGTCATCCTACAATTGTTTGGTGGAGCTCTTTTAGCATTAGATGCTTGCTATTTTGTTCCTTCAATTATCAGAAATATTATTTTCATTTCTTGTTTGACAAATAATAGATATAGATTATTTTTAAGAAGAATGATTGCTTATTAATCCAAACTGATAAGATCATCAATAGAGAAATATTAAATAATGGTTTATTCATATTAGTATAGAAAAATATAGGGGCGACATCACATGCGTAGCGGAAGAACAAAAAATAAAAAATCTCGGATTTCCACAAAAAGGTTTCATCGTCATGCGAAGATTGGTGTGCAAAAACTCGTAAAATCGAAAAACTGTACGTACAAGGGAGACTGTGTTACCTAAGGAGATCATATAATCCTAAATTCCAAGAGATCTGTGGGAGATGATGAAGGAGGTGCTCGTCATAGGTGTCCTGCAAACCAATCACGTGAGTGATGACACGTGTGACATGACACATAATCGTTTATATTGCTTTTTGCAAATATACTATGATGTTCGTGGATCTATGTAATGTGAATCAGATCATGATGAGATTATAATAATGAGACCGATTCACCTTCAAACATAAATCCTAAATAATTTTGGTCATAGGTTATTCGAGAGGGACATCGAGATAGCCGGACAGACTAGTATGTTATATACCTGTCCCAAAGGATCTTAGGTTCAAATTTATAATTGAGTGATTACAACTGATTAAAATATAGTTGAGTGATTTGTGATGTTTCAATGTTCTAACTTAATATAAATTTCTTACGTTCATCCTTGCTAGGAAACATCTTTCTATTAGCTTAGGATATTCTTCAATGTATTACATGCACACTAAATTCGGAAAGACTTCATCAACGCCAACTCTCTACGAGTAATAATAACAGTTGGCAATACATAAGATGACATTGAGCTTTTCTCTATTGCCCAATTATAGTTTTTTATTCGCTCAACTTTCATATACACAAATGTAATAGAAAATGTTAGCTTTATCGATGTAACACCCACTATTTTCATAAGAGGCATTCAATATCTGTTGATTTTATATGTGCAATACATAATTAATACTCATGGAAACATATACAACAGATCAACCGTGGTAGGATGTGCCCAAAATAAGTCTTTGACAATATTGCCTTTATCATTACTTGTATTTCAGACAATATTTTTATACTCAATAAGCTTCATTATAAATTATTGCATCTGTGTTTTTTTAGCTTTCTCCAACATTCTATACTTGTGCTGAACATTATATATATTGTTGTTATCTTTCTGATTCAATATCAGTAGTATTTATCATGTCGAAACTATATTTTCTATCATATTAGAAATAATTTTCTTCTCCTCATTTGATGATCTCTCAGAATATGGATGCTAAGTTGTTTTGGGAGAGGATGGTTATACGATTCGCAAGGCACTCAGATCATCAATTTGTCATCCTTTAGTAATTGAACAACAACAAGTGTAAATGGATAACCCCATTTTCTAGATCTGGATGACTGTTACCATTTGTCATCCTTTTGTCATCTTTTACCATTTGGATTTATCCACTTCCGATACTGTCTTCTACTTTATTCATAAAAAAATCGTATTCTAGGTTTTCTTCCTCTATTCTCTTCATATTTATCTATACCTCTTTCCAACCCATTCAATTAATACTTCCTTGTTTGTAAAAGCCTACAAATATTAAATCAATAAGTTTAGCATATATTATAACATGAATAATATCAAGTATATGACTATTATCTATATCTAACATGTTGCAAATGACTGAGTGATCACTTTCACCCGTTGAATATTTATATCATTATTTTCTATTAACAACTAAAATAAAAGTGAGAGAAAATAGTTAATACTATACTTGCCAATGCTAAGATCTTTTTTACCCCAAATATTGATCCAAACATTATGTAATAGCGAAAGATGTTATATTTTGAATTATTTTTCAATTGCTCAAGAGATGATATATTCTAGACTTTTTCAAAACCATCTAAAAAATATCATATTTCAAGTATTTTACAAATAGACAGAGGAGACCAAGAAAATGACATGTTCTAAGCTATTACACAATATACATAATCCTAGAAATATTAAATCATTATAACAAACATCAAAAATTATTTATCGTCCCCACTTTTTTAATCTTTAGATCATCCCATTTCATCATTTGTCTTTTTTTATCATTTTATATTGGTGATAAAGAGGAGGAGGATGAGAAGGAGAAAGAAGAAGAAGAAGAAAAGGGAAATAGAAAAGAAAATGGGATTGTAGGTAAAAAATGAAAATATTTATTTAGAATTAAGTTATAAATTGAGGACATATAAGTTTATTTATAAAGAGATAATTTAGAAATATTTAAAGTTAGATCATAAATAAAAAAGATTTTAATTTTTTTATTTTTATTATTTAAAAATTATCAATAGTAAAGGATTGGCAATTGAAAAAAAAAATCATCAATAGTAAGCTTGTTATGTAAATTATCAAATCTATCCACTTTGAAACTTTTGTTTATATTCTTTGTTTCATAGTAGCTACAAAGTAAGAAAGATTTTGGACGAAGGATCCTCCATTAGTGGCACCTCTAAACTATTATAGAATGTACATAATCCTAAAAATATTAAATTATTATAACAAATATCAAAAATTATTTCTCAGCTCTTCTTCTTCAATTTTCATATCATCCTATTTCATCATTTTTTTATCATATTAGGTCACCTCCAGTGATTAAGAAGAGAAGGATGAGGAGGAAAAAAAGAAAAAAAAATATAGCTAAAAAAAATAAAAAGGTTTATTTAAAATTAAGTTATAAATTAAGGATATATATTTATTTATAAATATATAATTTGAAAATATTTAAAGTTAAAATCTTTTAACACTGATTGACCCACTTTGAGACTTTTCTTTATATTCATTGTTTCATGGCAGCTACAAAGTGAGTAAGGTTTTGGAAGGAGAATCCTCCATTGGTGGCACTTCTAAGAGCTGCTTCCATTAAAGCCATTGCCCTGTTCTTCACCTCCACACCTCCAAGCAATTCCTGCAGCTTGCAGCTGATCTCTTCCCTTGTTATGATCCCACTCTCATCAGCCACCATCTTTAGACCAGTCTTCCAATCATCACAAACATAGGTCTGGTTGACGAACTGGTCGCCAAAGCTGGGCCAGCACAGGAGAGGCACTCCATTGCTGATGGCCTCCATGGTCGAGTTCCACCCACAGTGTGATATGAAGCAACCAATCGCAGGGTGAGCAAGCACCTGGTCCTGAGGCGCCCATCTCGCCATCTTCCCCCTGCAGGCGACCCGGTCAATGAATCCCGGCGGGTAGGCATCGGCCATGTCGTCCGTCAGGTCCGGCCGCGCGACCCACAAGAACGGCCGGCCGGACAGCTCCAGCCCGAGCGCGAGCTCGTGGAACTGGCGGCGGTCGAGGATGGTGAAGCTCCCGAAGGCCACGTACGCCACCGAGCCGGGCGGCTTCCCGTCGAGCCAGGCCGTGCACGTCGTGTCAACCGGCCACAAGTGCCCCACCAGCTTTCCCGGCCGGTGCGCCGCCCGCACCGGCCCTATAGGTATTATGCTCGGGGAGAAGGCGAACACCGGCGCCTCGAGCTCCTGGAAGGAGTTGCAGAGGAGGAAGTCGGCCGCGGCGGTCGCCCGGGCGTTGTTGAAGATGTAATTGAAGAGCATCGGTTGGGCTGTCCGATCGCCAAGGTTGTTCCAGGCGACGTAGGCCGTGTTCATGGGCAGCATGCCAGGGCCGAGCTGGAACACGCCTTCCGCCATGGGAAACCCTGCACGGAGCAGAGGACGCCGTCTGTAAGCTCGTCTTCTTGGTTCTCATATTCTATGCTCTGTTACCATTCTCGTCGATGACGCCTCGCGCGATCAGCTCCGGGATGCTCAGTATCGTGGCGAGCACCGCCGCCGACGCAGGCCAGAACGCCGCTGTCCGGACGCCCATCTTCTTCGCGACCTCCAGCGCCCAGGCCATGCCCTGGAAGGCGATCATGCACGTGATCTGATCGCCGGCGTCGCCGCTCCTACGGATCAGCTCCTCCAGGCAAGGATGCATGGCCTTCTGGAGGCCCGCCATCAGCTTCCCGTGGTCGCTGCGCGCGCCGGAGTCTTCCAGCTCCAGCCCGTCCGGGATGGAGACGAGCTCAATTCGGCCCGAAGCAGCCTGCTCCATGTCGGCCAAGGCGGCGACAAGGCGCGCGTGGCTGAACTCAGTGTTGACGAAGGTGACCTTGAAGCCGTGGTTCACCAAGAAGTGGGCGAGCGCCATGAAGGGGATGACATGGCCTTGTGCAGGGTATGGCAGGAGCAGTGCGTGAGGCGACGAGCCCATTGCAGCCGTTTGGTGATCTCCACGGTATTTGGATCTCTGGTTTATATGCTAAGCAAATCTAAAGACAATTTAGATAATAAGATTACATTTAAAATTATTATTTTATATAAAGTTTTATGTAATTCATATCAAATAGTTGAGATATTAAGTTTTACTATTACTAGAAAAGAAGATAGTTATTTAATGCATATCAAATCATATCACTTGTTTTTCTCATGTCTTAATAATAATATATTCCGCCAACGAAGGCACTTTCACCTTAGTGGCGTAAGCCGCCGTGTTTGACTTCGCCGTCGGCGCCGTCTTCTACTGGATCATATTCAACTGGCGACTGCGGCAGATAGAAAAAAAATTAATATTTTATGAAAAGTTATCAAAAGGAGGATCAAAATATTAGAAAAATGGAGTAGGTTGATGAGTTGGAAATGGATGAGTAGAATAGAAGGGAGGGAGGAAAAAAATACAAACAGAGAATAGGAGGAATAAAAAAAAGAGGAAATAGAAAAGTGAAAGAAGAAGAAAGAATTAGAAAGGAAAATTAATAAATTATAAATTATTTTATAATATTTTTTGTTGACTTTTCATCGGTTTATCCCTTGCAATATAGTGAATAGAAACTTACTGGCATCATTGATTAATAATATATATATACATATATATATATATATATATATACATACATATATATATATATATACATATATATGAAATAACAAATTGTGTTTGGATCTCTGCAACACACACACACAACTATTGTGTTGATAGTCTAAATTTATCTAGATTTGCCTTAGTCGTGTAATACTTGTTTGCAAACTATCAGAGTCGCATTGTCGAAATATAAATTGCGATCACATAAATATAAATTGCAAACTTGAAGTCTTGCTTTGAGTGCAAAGATCTTGAGGTGTAGCTCATAGAGTTCCATGTGAATGTTCAGCCATCTCATAAGCCCAGTAAAGCTGCAGAACTGATAGCTATTCCCACACACATACATAGTTGTCGAGGCTTCAAGTCGACATCGTAAAGACTGTTTTATTCATGCATATGTGAGTGGAATTTGCATCCATTAGAATTAGACTAAACTTGCTCCGGAAACCAACTTCTGAATCTAATACCCTATATTATCTTGTTTTGTAAAGACAACCAAACTCACTTTTCTTTATTAAGAATAATTGCTTTAAGTGTAAACAGAAAAGAATTAAGAAGTTGCTGTATGCTTATTGTGTTTGTATTGTGCTGCTAAGAGCCTGGTTAAGCATGATGTTATTAAGAAAGCTCTTTCGTGCACTTTTATGCCTTCCCCATTCTTTATCATCACCTCCTTCTTAGATTTTATATTCTAATTAATTAATTAATTAATTAAAATAAAGAAATCTTCATAATTATCTTTTCCAAAACTGTTGTTCTCGTGACCTTCCGAGGACCTTTATTATTATAGATTTTTTTTCTCACCTTTCGATAAATCCCTACTCCGTTAGTTACAATGGTCCTAAAAATAAGAAAAGATGAAAGGTGTATTGCTTTGTAAATTCCGAGGTAACTTCTTTAAAGCATGATTTATCCAATAAATTACCTAAGTTTATAGATATTATACAAACTCATACGAGGAAAGTCATCAAAATATTAGTTTTGTAGCAAGAAAGGTTATATGAAGAAGACTATAAGGTTTAGTTCGAAAGAGAAAGGTATAAGTTAATCTTTATATGTTTCGAATTAGATATTACAGAAGTTCTTTTATAATATTTGATGCTTCAACTCATGTTACAAATAATACATACAAATTAATTTTAACATAAAAACCAAAAGTGCATAAAAGATTCACCACTACAATGAATCATCTTAATTCAAAAATGATGTAGTGTATATTTATCATCTATACTTAGAGATGATCCATTTGATGTATCTTAAGAATACATGTTATATTTCTATAATTTTAAATTTTAAATTTTTTATCTAGAATTATTAGGATATTATCTTTCTTTTGGTGGTGACAAATTCAACATATTTATGATTCAATTAAAGTTACTTATACAATTTTGAATGATGATTTATATAACATTAATATAAATCCTAAGTTTTCTATTATCCTACAATCAAATATTAGAATGAAACATAGTTTTACGAACTTCTTGAGATTACATATACTTACAATTACATATTACTCCATTTTCTTATTTAGAAGAGATATCTTATCACATTTATGGATATGTCAAAATTTGACTATGCATATATGATTCATGTTAGGTCTTAAGCTATTGATACTTTTAGCTATGCATAAATAAAGTCAACAAATAATTAGATTAAAAAATTAAAATTATCAAATCTGATAGAGGTAATAATTTTATAGTAGATATAATATGTTTGATCATAATTTTGGTTCTTTTACTGAATTATAAAGAAAGTAAGATATTCATGCTCAATATATTTTATTAGGTGTGTCACAATAAAATGAAATTATTGAAATATGAAATCATACTCTTATTAATATAGTTAGGAGCATAATAAATTATTACTTTATACTCGAATCAATGTGAGGTGAAGTTTTAAATTAATTTCATCAACTCCTTTAGAGTTATGAATAGACAGAAAACTCAACTCAAAATATTTACATATTTAGGATTGTTCTACAAAGTTAAAGATCTTCAATCTACATAAAAAGAAATTGGATTCAATAATTATTTATAAGTATTTTATTCTAAGGGATATAAATTTTATTATCTTAATCATAATATGAGAATAGTTGAATATGATAATACAATATTCCTAGAAAATGATGAATCAGTAGGAGTGAAAATCTCATATTTTAATCTTGATATTAGGAGATATATGTTATTATTTTAAAATTATCTATAGATTTGCTATTCGAGAATTTGTTATTCCTTAAATCACTAAATGACTTAATTAAGGTGAACAATAAATGAGCATGAATAAATTATCACATAATATTGATATCATTGTTGATAACTTGTAGAACAACCATAATCGATAGTCTTAAAAATATCTCAAAAAAAATGAGACTTATCATTTTTAATAACTATATGATACAGAAGAATCATATTATGATATAGGAATAAAAATTGATTTCTTATTATTTTTATATGTTATAAAAAATAATAATTCTGAGTAGTGGTATGATGCAATAAAAGAAGAGTTAAAATTAATAGACCTATTTGATGTGTAGAAACTCATTGAATTACCTACTAATTATGAAAGAATTGATTGTAAATTAGTTTTTAATACTAAATAGGACTCAATGGGTAATATCAAATAATATAAAGTTAGATTTGTAGTCAAAAGTTTTATTTATAAAAAAGGCATTGATCATAATTTGATATTTTCTTCAAGTTTTTCTAATGGACTCATTAAGAATCATCATGATATTAGTAGTTTATTATGATTTTGAGTTATATCAAATAGATATGAAAATAATTTTTCTGAATAGAACTATCTAAATGATTAGTAGAGAAAGGAAAAGAAAGAAAAATTTTAGCTTACAAATTTTGAAAATCTATTTATGACTATAAGCAATCTTTCTAGATAATGGTATATAAATTTTATGATACCATTATTTTCTTTAAATTTAAAAAATATTTTTGATTAATGTTTATATCTAAAGATTAGTATGAGTTAGTTTTTTATTATTATTATTATTATTATTATTATTATTATTATTATTATTATATGATATTTTACTTATCAATAATAATTTTGGTTTATCACACGATATCAAGATATTTTAACTAGGAATTTTATGTTGATTGATATAATTGAGACAACTTATCTCTATGTTAATATATTTTAGAAATATATATTAATAATTATTAAGATTATCTTAGAAATAATTTATTAATTGAGTTTTAGGGAGATTTAGTATGTAGCATTATTTAGCAAATAACAAAGGTATAAAATTCAATCAAAGCTAGTAATTTCTAAAATTAACTTAGAAAAAAATCAAATAAAATAATAAATAAAAAATATTTCTTATGCATGTGTAATTAAAAATCTATTATATGCTTAACTCTATACTAGATCAGATATTAATTTTATAGTCAGAATATTAGGTAGATATTGGAGTTACTTAAAAATAAAATATTAGAAAACTATAAAAGAATAAAATAAGATGGGATGAAAGATTATATATACACATATAAGAAATCATGTCAGTTTAAAATGATGATATTTTCATATGTTGATTTTATGAATTATCTTAATAGCAAAAATTCTTCTTTATGATTTATGTTTACATTAGGACAATTTACAAATATAGTATAATGTAAATTATATTATTGATAATAGAAACTGATTTTGTGATATATTATGAGATCACTAATTAAGCTTTATGACTACTAAATGTCATCTTTGTCAGACTCAACTATAAAGTCATTAAAAATATTTTGTGACATACCATTATAGTTTTCTTTTCTAAGAATGATAAATACTATTACAATTCTAAGTATATTGACATAAAATACTTAATCATTACATAAAGAGTTTAGAAATAACTAATGTGAATTAAGAACTTGAGTTTTACTATATTAATTGTTGATCCATTCACTTAGACCTTACAACTATTTGAATTTGTGAGCAGTCAATAAAAGATATGATAATACATATTTGAATGAATATTATAATTAAAATCATTTATTTCTACTATCTTATATATATATATATATATATATATATATATATA